GATCTGCCGTTTACGAAGTGAAACAACACAACAGTTTCTGGATTCTTTTGTGCAGGGAGTTCGCCAAACAAGTTATCGGACAAAACAACTCATGAACATGCCCTTCAGGTGTGTTCAGAGGGAAACCATTCTGCTGATACTCAAAATGTCCAACATCAAATCTACACCGTTCCTAGGAATTAAATCATCAGAAGATCGATTGCCACAAGATTAGCATTTTTACCGAAAAATCATCTTTTCCGAAGAAGCTCATTTTCACTTCGACATCTATGTTAACAAGTGAAACGGTCGCTTTTGCGGCCAGAAAACCATCCTCCCCGAGTGTTGCTGCTGCATGCCTATCAATTACATTGCTGGACCATTTTTCTCCGGGAAAGGAGCTACGATTACAAATTATTTCTTTCCAAATCTTGTCGATTATGACATGGACGATGTGTGATTTCGGCACACGATATGAGGAGGAAAAGTGATATGCCAACCATGGATTCACGATTTGAGACAAACAATTGAAATCACCATTGCAATCATAGAGAGTCACACAATCGAAAATGCACTGAAAAAATGGGTAGACAAAGTGACCCACTGCTAGGCCAGCCACGGAAATGACGTTATGTGCCGGTTACGTAGTATTGGGGCATTGCGATAAAGGTGGAATATATATTGACTTTCTTTATTATTATTTAACTAAAATTATTAAAGTTAATTTTTATGAAAAAATACAGAATCCACTAATATTTTTAAATTTATTTGTCATTTTCAATGAAAATAAAATAAAACTGTAAATACTATTAAACTCAACATCACTTGATTTAATAGTCTCCTAGAACATACCAATAAACCTAGATACCAAAATTAAAAGATTCTTCATTATACCTTTCTTTAACTTAGAATCAATTTATAAAACCGTTATATTTTAAATAATAGCCGCTAAACCGAGTTAGAGACGAAACTCATAGGCCATTAGTAGGCCCATTGTGATATAAAATGCCAACAACACGCGGTGTTTCCAAGCGTTGCCTCATCTAAGTACTAACGGGTTCGGTGAGCGAACAAGTAGCGATTTAACGTGGAAGATCATACCACGGCTACTGAGTTTAAAACAAATCAAAAATGTTTCCGCCCGATGCGGAGAGCAATGCCACGTATGGATGTATATCACACACAATGCGTATACGGTTGACTAAGGATTGAAAGGATCGTACTAATTCCAGTAATAATTAATTTATCATTATTTTTGTTTTAAATTATTATAAATCGATAATAGTGTATTTTAAAAGTTATTTATTGAAGTATTTACATATATTTTTATTTATGTAGAAAATTTTATAAATATATATAATTTAACCTTTATTGCATAAAAATTCATACGCATTTCTGCAAAGTAGATGGTTCTAAGTTGGCAAACTATGTATGTTTATTATTGTTTATGATGGGATGGACTGGGTAAGACAGCACACACAAGGACACACACATATAGGCTTACAAAATCAAATAAACACAACAACAAAAAACTATAATAAAAAAAGCGTAAAAATTGTAAAAATGTCTAAAACAAAATAAGAAGTAATCGAGAAAATCTTGCCGTCAAGTGTTCGCTTTTCAAAACTGTTTTACATTTTTTTCACGTCTCAACATTTTTCCAGCTTTGCAATGCAAAAGAAAAAATCGAAAAAATAATCTAAAAAAATATTAATTGTACATCATTATGCATGTATATGCAACTTACTATCTTTTTTTTTGGTTACAATTTTATTGTTTAACGGTTTAATTGGCATTATTTTGGTTTTATTGGTTATATCTAGTATCGGCAACAAGGATAAAATGAATGAATACTGCTCAGGGACATTATTAGGACACACTATTTTTTTTTTTTTTTTTGGGTAGCGGGTAAGTAACGAAAAATATCAAATATTTATTATTGTATGACTGGTAGCATGATAATGAAAATGAAAATGAATTATTTACAAAATGAATGTGCTTCGTCATAAATGCTTACGGTCCGGAATTGTGAAAAGCATAATAGAAAAATGTTTTATTATTTACACTCGTATATATGTATGACGAAAATTGTGAGCGAGAAAATATTTTGTTTGAAACCTAAGTAACGAGAAGCAAATATTTTTTTTTTTTTTTTTTGATTGCAGTCAGTATTTGGGAGTTGATTTGATATCTTTTTTCTGAGTAAACACATATTTGCCAAGCTTGTGTTGCCTCTCTCATGTGTTTAAATATATTTAATTATTATTTCAGTCTCTAATTTTCTTTTAAAAATATATCATAGTGTTGCAGTCGACGCTCGGCAGAGAATAAAAGTCCTTCGAAGGTGGCTTAGTATGAACTGTAGGTCCCTCCATTTTTTAGAGAACATCAAATGGAACGAGGAGCTCGGACGGAAATCGCTTTAGCCGAAAAATATATAAATATATACTATTTTGAAGATGAAATTAAACCAGTTTATTACTTGTTGGCATATCAAAAGTAAAGAGAGTAGAAGTAAGCCACAAGTGGTAATGCAGTTATCTGTTTCTACTTATTTCCCACAAAGCTTAAACTTAAATTTACTAGTATTTCGGGGCATGGTAGACCAAAAGTCGCAGTGCATTTACGCTCCTCTAACCAGTATTTAAGTGGTATGAAGCTGATAGTTGGACCATTGGCATATAGTAAGACAACGGAGTACTAAATATACCAATCAATGGCAGTGGGGAAAAGATGGAAGGCATTTGACTGTATTTTGGCCTAGGCTTTGCTTTAGTTGAAAGTCTGTCATTTATGAAAACAACCGCACAATGCGTTAAATTTGTTAAAACCTACTGCTGTTTTAAGAGAAGATTACGGTGCACATAATCGAGGCATATTTTTCACTCAAAAATCCTGCTATATATGAAGGGAGGCCATTAAATATAAACAAACGTTTTGAGCTCTTTGATCCGGAGGTGTGATCAGACCTTTGAAAACCACAGCTGCGAGACTATCATTATCAATTCGGAGCGTTTGGCAGTATGATAACAATTTGTGTCTGACTTGAACAATATGTGGTTTCTCAAAAATTCTAGAGATTTGAATTATGTAATGTTTCACTTGTAATGCTAAGGTGCAAACTTTATAAAAGAAAGGAATTTCACGAAAATAATTATTTTAAAATTATTTTATTAGCGCTTATTTTCGAAACCACAAAATAGATAACCCTGTATAATTTTCATGTTGTCTTTAATATAATTCTTCTTCTCAGTCTTTGCAGATATCTAAAAAATAAGAAGAATGAAATTCCCAAAATGATATCAATAACATTCTCACGCCTGTTCGCCAACTATGGAAAGATATAGAAAAATAGTTTAGTAAATATCCGCCGGTTTGTTAGAATTTCTTCAGTTAAATTTTTGACAACTGCATTCTTCTCATGGGTCAAACATAACTATTAAGCATATTTCCTTTTTATAACCATTTAAGCATTGTTCGGCCGAGCTTCTCTCTTCTCCAATTCAAAATTTACACCTTAATCTTTTTCCCCTCTATGAAGCTATGATTGAATAAATAAATATTATAACATCCTTCTTTCGTTTATATGTATGCATGTATGAAATGTATATGCCCGATTGTATTCATTATACCTATAGCACGTAAAGGTATTTCTTTGGTTCGTTAGCAGTTTCTTAACAATACACATTTAAAAAAAAATATAGTTCTCGGTTTCATTTTTGTTTTCTTCTTCTCTCAACTTGTCAAAGAGTCAAATAAACGTTAACAATTATAAAGAGAAGGTAAAACGAAATACAGAATTAGTCATGTTTTGTTTAACTTTGCAAATAAGTAGATATATATAAAAAGTATATAATTCGTTTATATATACATATATATGTTTGTAAATATATTTATACAATATTTATATATAAAAATATTAACAAAAAAGTTTTTTATTTACAAAAGTCAATTATTTACAGTTATGTGTCAAGAACGCAAAGTGTCAAAACGAACCCATATAGAGTGTAAATAAAAAAAATAAAAAAAAAAATAAAAATATATATATATTTTCAAATGTAAGCATGATTTTTTATTGCATACACTTTTTATAGAAATTTATGCAATCACTTAAATTGCCTCATATATATATATATGTACATTCATAATGTGTATGTATGTACATATGTGTGTATTTACGAAGATAGCGTATTGACCTACGCATTGAGACGTTAATTTATTTAACCGTCACTTCCAATATTGTTTTGTATTTACTTTTTTTTTACCTGCTCGTGTATATATGTATATTTTGTTTGAATCGCGTTGTTGATTTTCAGTACTTTGCTAACTTTTCGCTTCATTTACTTTATTGTTTTCAAAAATTTGTTAAAGAAACAATTTTGTATCTTACAAAAGTTGGGACGGGTTAAACTGCTATTCCGCTAATATGTACGCACGCTTAAAATTAAAATTGAAATTGCCTTTTTTATTTCGTTAAAAATATGTTAACTTTAAGAATATTTAGTAAAAGTATTGCCACTAATGTGTTTTTTTTTAATTATTTATTTATTTCTTTTATTATTGTAACTTTGATTATTTGCGAGAAAGAGAGAGGACCCTTGCTATGTACTAAACGAGAGAAAATATCAACAACAAAAAATGGGGGAAAATGTTAAAAAAAAAATCAAAACGGTCGGTATATTCGAATATTGAGTGGACTAAAATATTGATTTATTAATTTATATATATATATATATATTTATAAATATATATGCATTTCTCAAATGTATGTGTGGTGGATTTTGTAGTAACTATTTACAAGTATACAATTTGGTGTTGTTGTGTCTGGCTTTTCCTGCATATTATAAGTGATTTATAAAATAAAAACAAACATTAAAAAAACTAAATAAAATAAACAAATAAGACAAATAAAAAAATCAAAACTAAATAATTTTAAAATTTATAAATATTTATATTTAAAAAAAATATATATATGTACTAGCTTGCGAATAAAATTTAATAAACCGAAAATAAAAAAATATTCTTTTCAAAACGTTTAACGTTATGCCCATAAATATGTATGTATGCAATTAATAATTGCTTGAATGAAATGAGCTTAATAGTAAACTGAAACTATTTGCATTAAACCTAAGAATGAAACGTCGCCAAAACGGGTGCAATAAATCAGAAGATTTTTATATAATTATCACAAAAAAAGGTAAAACAAACAAAATCGGGTGAGACAACACAGAAATGTACAGAAAATTAATAACATAAATATTATCATAGAAAAATATCCAAATATATAATAAAAATTAAACATAAATACATAACCGAACAAACATAATTCACAAATTATATGTAGTAACACAAATACGAACAGAAAATATACTCGTATATGTATATACAAAAAAAAACCGTTTGCAAAAATGTTATGTTTTTTTTTGATGGTGAAAAAAAACAATATTAAAATGTGGCAGACAGATAGATAGTTAGTTGAGTAGTAGTTAGCTAGAGAGTGACTTTAAATATTTAAAATAAATGGGAAATAGAAAATAAAACCAAAAACATAACGATAACTAGAAAACTAGGAACAAAACAAAAAACGCAAATTAATTAATGCTTACAATCATTCATATCATCATAGGATCTCATTATATACTGATCCGATGAGGATAGTCTTGAATGCCCGTTGTTGTTGTTGTTCAAATTGGGATGAGCTCCCCCCCTATGTTCGCTTTGTTTTAAAACGCTACGCATCGCCATGGCAGATGGATTCGTTTGATGCATATACATACTATCACCTTCGCACTCACTTTCTTTATATTGAAGAACATTTTTATGTTTTTCATAGATAACCAGGCACCGATGACATCCTTTCCTACAAATAGTATTTATGCATTTTATGTAATATATGTAGTATGTAGTTTGCAATGTTAGCAATTTAGCACACGTTCAGAGAAAAAATATAACAAATACAAATACAAATTTTTAATTTTTATTCTTATTCATGATTGCTTTAATTGATGGTATTTAATATAAAACCCAATAAAATAAGAAACAGACTAAAATAAATGTTTTATTAATATTAATACGTATACTATGTTGCTCGTAAGTATGTTGAAAAAAATATATAGGGTAAGTTAAGATTTTGGTATGTCATTTTTAGAACATTTTTATTTTGTTTTTTTTTTATTTTTTTTTTTTTTTTTTTTTTTGTCAAAATAATTAAGCTTAATCACTGCTTTGGTTGTATGTAAAAATATTTTTATAAATATCTATGTATGCAAGTAAATAGTATGTGTAAATTTAGTTAAATATAATTATTTTTATTATTTTGTGGAAATGATTGTTTCTTATGGTATGAATTTTTCTTCTTCTTAAATTAAAGAAACATATGAGGTTGAAATAAGATTTTAATTTAATAAAAAAAAAATAAATAAATTGATAAATTAAAAATTCGTCTAAAAAAATATTTTCTTTTGAAAAATTGTGCATTGCATTATAAAATTGAGAATATGAAACAATATTTTCAAATATGATATTCAATCACAAATATGAATTTTACTATTTCCTCAGAGCGTTAAACCTGCGCCACCACAATATTTTATTCAGGCTCTAAGATGTTCGAAGGTTTTTAGGCTGCACAGGCGTTTCAAGCGTTAGAATCCTGCACCCCTTGGCATGACATTTCCAGCCAATATTTACATTTTATAACGGGAATTTGTAAATATCTTTTGCAAATATTTGCTTGTGAATTCTATGCATATTTTATTGTGTGAATTTATGCTTTTGAGCTTCATCTAAATAAATGTAGAATTGAGTTCCACAACACAGCTTATAATAAATCATGCATTGCACCAATTTTTGATAAGAATTGTAGGCAAGTAATTTATCGTTTAAAAGTATAAGAATCTAAAATAATTTGTTGTTTTGTAGGCTTCTTCAAATACATATTGTTGATTGGCACTTGGTAACCGCTTAAGCGATTTTCAGCCGTATACCTTCTTCAGTTTGTAGAACGATCTTCATTTTAATCTAAGCCGCCTTCAAACGGCCGGTGAATTTTTATGATGAGCTTTTTTATGTCATGACAAAAACCACTCATAGGTCTTGACAGTACCTGCCGAGGAGCGACCACAATTACAAAAATTAATTTTCTATTATTTTAGATGTTGGTCGAACTGGAAATCGAGCCATGGCCTTCCGAATGTCAGTACATAATGCTAATCACTAGGCCATTGCGACCGCCATATTATATGGCATATTAACAAACATTTTCGTGCATTTAATTGCTCAAATATAATGTAAAATGTTTTTAAAATTTTAAAATAATTATGATTGTCGCCGTATAAGTAATTAACAGGACTACATAAGTTCGAACATGTTCGAAGTAGCTGATTGTCACTATGGTCTGAAAGGCCTGATGAATTTAGGAAATTTGTCTTCTTTCAGGCGTTTTTATCTATATAGATTTGACTTTAACTTAACTTAATTTTATGTGCCATGTTTAGAACTACATGTAAGGGCTGACGGGTTGAAATTAGTTTTTTTCTTTGTGATTGAATGCGTTCAAAGATTGTTGTAGTACCTATGAATATGATTGGATACAATAAACTCAACGACCTCACCTAGCTGGGTAAGAATGAAAAACAAGTTAATCTTTCCCTCATCTTGATCGCGTAATTCTAACTTTAAAAGCTTATGATAAGCTCTATCAAAATTTAATTATTATATATATTAAAATAGCACAATTTTTTACACATTTAAAACAAAAGATTTTAATCAAATAACTTTATAGGCAAAAATTAGAGTTATTACAAAATGTATGCAAAAACAAATCTCAGAAGAAAGAAAAACCATACAAGGTTTGGCACTTCAAGCCAAGTAGAAAATACTAACGGAAAAAATTAAAAGAAAAAGATATTTCAAAATATTTTCAATAAACGTTGCTTGCTAAACAGAATCTCGGTGACTAAAAGAAAAAGTTGAACAAAATTAAATTCATTAAGAATTGTGCAAAATACCCAAAAATAGAGTTTTTGTTTCCAAAAGCACGTAAACTAATAGAAATTTAATATTGAAAAGACATACAGGACGAAACAGGCTAATTTGTTTTCACTTTTTTTTTTCTTATTAAATGGCGTGTTTGTGTGTTTATAAGTGGGTAGTTTTAACAAATAATGGGTAAAAATATGCGCATAACACATTTGAAACACTTTTATTCTAACAAGTTTTTTATGTTTGCATTTTTAAATTAAATAAAGGAGCTTTTATAAATTTTTAGCAAAAAAAAAACAAAAAATAAGAAAAACAAATATTTTTTTTGTTTAGCTACAAAATAACGATATCATCACACAACTGGGAGCAAGACAACGAAAACTTAAAAAGTCACACAAGAAATTCTATTTAAATTAAAGAGTGATATACTTTGAACACATACATACATACATTTGAAAATGTACGCTTAGTGTCACTTTTTTAATAGAAAACTTTATTTGGTAATATAAAATAAAAAAATAGTAAATTTATTTGCTGAAAGTTACGTTCATACAAATTTTTCAAATAACTCGGCACTTTTTTTCTTTTTTGGAAAAGGTAATCCTAAAGCCAAATAGGAAAAGTAATATTTAGTAGCAAATTTTATTAAATGTATATGTATGTATTAATGGTATTTCGGTGATAAAAGATACACATAACGCTAAATTGTGTGTGAAACAGTACAAGGAGCAGGAACAGATTAGAACGAAATACATTTTGTATGTATACGAAATCAAAACAAAAACAAAAAATATAGTTGATATATTTAAGCACATTTAATACGCATACCGTATTCAGTTGCAACAATATTGTTACCATAAAATATATATTTATATAATAAGTAAATAAATATGTATGTATGTATTTGAAAAATAGGCAAAAGCAGTACAATAATATTTCGATTATAAACCTACGCAGTCTCATTTTGATTGCATTTAAAATGCCTAAAGTTGATATCGGATAAAGCTCACATTTTTCTATGCTATGCTATTTCTGTATGTAATGAGTTATTGAGCTTTCATTTACTTGTCGTATATTTATGTACACTGAGCTATATTTTAACAGCTTAATTTTGTTATTTTAAAATTTATGAAAAAGCTCGCTTAGCAAACAAAAATTCTGCCTAAATCTTTAAAATTGAAAAATAACGAAAAAAAAACAACTTTTTTTAATTCAATATAATCAATTTTTCCTTCTCAGCACCGTATTTAACGCACTATACTCATGCCGAATTATTTTTATATTAGAAACTAATAATATTAAATATAAGATATTTGTATTTAAAAAAAAAAAAATTTATTTATTTTTTCGATATTTTTATATTATTATGAGAACATATCAACTTACTCGTCAACAATCAAATATTTGTTACCATCCGAAGCCGCACATTTACCACGATAACTGAATTGGGAGCCTTTTATATGTATGGACTGTTGGTAGCCAGATAGGAACCATGAACCTTCCCAACGTGCGGGAAAAGTGCAATTCGTTGGAACTGTAACGAAATATCAATCAAACAAAAAGGTTAATAAAGTCAAAAGCATTCGATATATATACACATGTATGTATATATATGTATGTATGTATGTATGTATGTAGGCATATAGTATAAACAGAGATTCGCTCAAATGCATTTCATTAGCCAGACCGTCGTTATCGATTACATACGAGTACTTCTTGGAAATCATCCAATATTTTTCTATTGCCAAGTGCTTGCCTGGTGAACTTTTCACGGTAGCAAAGTTGTAAATTTGATTAGCGTTAGGCAAACACTGAATAACCTCCCTGAAGCTGTTCATCTACAATTATATTATAGTAGTTTACCAACATCTCATACAAGCTGTCACTTAACAAGAACTGTCAAGTTAGTGTGTGTAAGTTATTTTCACTAGAACTTGAGCAATTAAATTTTTTTTTTTTTTTTTTGAAAATAAATAGTTTTATGGTAAAAGCAATGTTGCTTATTGAAAAGAAATAGGGATTCCAAAATCAAAATATTGCAAGAAAAACACAAGTAGGAAGAGCTGTATTCGGTCATGACGAAATATTTACATCTTTCATGACCATATGAAATTCATGGTATTTCATTTTTGAAAGTTATATACATTCATATGTTGAAATTGTCCGATTTCGATGATTTTCAGTGGCAATGCTTATTTGTATTTGGGTGTGCACAATACCAAATCTCATGCTTGTACAAGCCCTTTTGGTTTGATTTCGAAAAATATCTAAAAAAAAAAACGGTGTATAGGAACTTCATGTTATAGTCGTTCGATCTCGATAATTTTCAACAACCAATTTGTGGGGCCTTAGATACTCTTTGGTCTAATTTATGACCAGATACTCAAATTTGCAAAATAGGGCATATATATTCGAAAGTGTTCCGATCTAGCCGGTTTAACGGTTTGAATCTGCTATTGCAATTATGTACCAAGTTTGATTGAAATATCTCATAAACTGAGAGAATAGTTTGCGTACAAAAGACAGACAGACGGGCATAGCTATATAAACTCAACGTGTCATTCTGACGTGGTCGTTATAAATTTTGATAAGATATATTTCCTTCTGGTACTTATATACTTCGGATCAATGTTAATATACCTTTATACCATTTCATTTAATTGAAAGAAATAAATTTATTTATAATTCTGGATAATTTATGTACACAAGTGCACTAACTGTCCTGAAGCACTGGGTTGTCAAAAGCCTTTAGACGTAGTTAACTATCCAGTGATACTGTCGAACATTTTGGGTTTGTCAATATATCCGAAGTTGCTTACTAGTCAACAGCAAAATAAAAAATCCGTAAGATCAAACGATGTATTGCACATGGTGGTGAGCTCTTTCCGCTATTGCGAACCAGTTCCCTCGTCTTATTTGCCGATGACCACTCAATATTGTCATCTGACCAATATAGCGATAATTTTTGTTCGAAAGTTAACTGTTATCTCAGCGATCTTTTCTACTTCTTACAACTACAGGGACTTGCTGTTTATACTAAGCTGGAACGGAACCGCTAATGGACTTTTATGAGAAGCTTTTATTTCACTTCAGAAATACACTTGGAGAGCTCGACATTTCCGGCCGAGAGACGATCGCAATTTAAAAAAAAAAAAAATTAATTTAAAAAAAATTATTTTCTGTTTATTTTGGAATGCGGGCCTTCAGAATGGTAGTATGCAATGAATTTCAAACTCCTAACGATGGGGCTTGCCGTGTCGCAGCGGAAGAAAAGCAGGATACCTACCTCACAACGATCCGATCGGTCACTACACGTGCGGGGATAAATACCGAGTTATGAAGACGGAAACAAGACTCATGTGCAAACAGAAAATAAGAGACCGAGATGCGTGAGTATGTAGAGCTTGAAAAGCTGGCCGACAAGGGTAATACTAAAAAATTCTACGAAAAGTTTCGGCGATTTACAGATTATTTCAAGACCGGAGCAAACTTTTGTAGGACCCAGACAGGTAATCTGGTGATTGAAGCCCAGAGTATACCGAATTTATGAGTGAAAATGGAACACGAAAAACCCGAATTATTTTATATATTCTTAATAGCAAAACAAGTAAATGCTTCTTATGCTGGTATTGCTGAATAAAAGAGGCGGCATTTGAAATTAAATTCTATTCAAAAATCAGAAAGGAACTACACTATGCCAAAAATCAACATGAATATTGAATGATGCTACACACGTACACAAATACACAAGCGTATGTATTTTAATGTTATTAATATTCCCCATACAATTATATATTCTCAGCAACAATGCGTAATTAAGCCTTCATTTTGTACAAAAGATTTGTGGCTTTTTAATTTTTGTAAATTGTTCGGATTAGTGGCATACAAAACACACCCATATGGACGTACTTACATACTCTCGTACATATGTACATACGAGTACGTTTGTAAAGAGAAATTGAAAGTTAAAGAAAACGAAAGCGTTTTGTGCGGATGCAGTTGACAAACCGTGGACACAGCGAAACACAACACGATCCAGCAAAGCACAAATGCTTATAAAAGTGTGAGCATTTTCATGTGTCCCTCATACGCGTATAATAATGAAAATAATAAAAAAAATAACAATTACCTACTGAGTGTCTCCCTTCCTGTGGACTGTTGAAAAACGTTGACAACATACGCTTATTATATTTCCATAGCATAGCTGAAATGCACAATCAAACACCCTTGCACATGAGTGAATACATACATACATGTACAATTATAATATGCATGTTATCCAAAGTACCTAAGAGTACATACTTTGACTAATAGAGATTGTAAGGCATTCCTTGCCTGCCTTACAATCATATATATCTAAAAGCCAGTGTAACATTTTTTTTTTATTTGTTGTATTTTCTTAAACGTATACTCGTTCATACCCTTATATATGTATGTAAAATTTCAAGTATATTTAAGGGTGACTTGACCGTTGAATTCTCGAAACACTTACCCTATATAAGCAGAGAATAGTCGTTACGGCTGTGAACTGTAAATATATGCCACATTCCGGACATTCACGCCAAGAGACACAAGAGACAACGACGCGTCGAGACTCTTTTCAACGTGAAGTGACAATAAAATTGCTTTAAATGCAATGATGAACATTCTAAACCTACATACATATGTATGTACATATATCTAAAGCAACATTCGTAAAGCAAAAATTACGTCTTTAAACTGGAATTTAAATATTGCGAATTCTCAGCAGTTCATTTTCATGCTCGAATGGTGTAAGAAATCTAAGGATTGAATATTTTCTTACGAGATCATGCCTGCTAAGCAGCTTGACTGATTAGGGTTGTGTCCAAGAAATCGGAGAACTTCTTGATGTCGAGCATAAATAATCACTCACCCAACTTCATCTTTGCACGAACTATTTGGGCAAGCTACGAATTCGAATTTAGTCACATGATAAAAGTCAAACCCAACTCCGAAAACTATTTCTACATAAGTATATAAAAATATACAGTTTGTACTGACTCTCTTGGTGATATGAGATGTATGAATAAGGTTCAGATCAAACTAAAATATGTACGATTTAAGTCGACTATAATATCCAGATCTTAACCAGTATTACAAGGGTCTCTCAATGCCGCTCGACCTTTTCGTCTACAATAAATGGTGGAGAGCTCATGAAGGTGCTGACGAACTCTCGGTGAATGACGTGTTAGGTCGGTGCTAAGCCTCAAGTGAATGCCTGTTGATATGCGTCCGACGTTAGCATCCCAGCAGATATTGCTCGCACAGCATAACATTATGCTTCCTAACTTGTAACATAGATATTTCACTGTAAAAGTAATATGCCGATGACTTGAGTCTTGAGACTTGTCGCGGTGTTGTAAGGGCGGGCGGGAGCGGTGGCAGCCTCCTTCATCACTCACAGGTGATGCACAGGCCAGGTGGACGTGGAGCTGAGGGACGCAATTGAGTGCTGCCAGCATGTGGACACGTAAACCGTGATCCACTATGTGTCTTAAGGCCGGAAAACGTTCAAAACTGACTCTACCTGCACTACTACTTGCACTGATTAGAAGGATTTGAAGAAACTCTGCTCCGAGGTGTTGATCTATTGATGCACTTAAGACTTCCAAAATAATTTAAACGCGGTTAGGTTTGTCGTGAGTGCCGTTAAACCGCCGTTCCATTTGAGAACAAGCTCAACCACCTTAACACAACACGTCCAAAAAATTATGTACGAAAATATATGTATGTATTTGCCCTTAATAACCACTGAAGGGATTTCCGACCATCCTTAGACGGTTTTATATATATTCTATATTATATATCTATATATCTATGGTAGGCAAACAAAAATGTACTCACCATCTGACCGTCCTGTCCAGCAGTGTGCCGGCGCAACTATAGTCAACACAAGCAACGATAAAATCATAAGATTCTTAGACACATCCGTTACGCCCAAAGAGCAGACGTTCTTCCGAAACAAAAGTGGTAACACAGAAAGGAAATTGTATCGTTGTATTTGACAGCGGTGTGGTTGACTTTCTTCCACTTGTCTATCGTCATACACCGCCAAGCCGCATCCGACACTTTCTTCCGCACCCAAACCACTATATGTTTCAGCATCACCACCATCCACAACTAACTTATTATCAGCAACCATACAAATATCACTATTTTCCTTAAAGCACCTACAGTCTAATGTGTGTAATGTTCTTGTTGTCGTTGTATGTGAATTTCCTATTATAGCAGCCCCAGCAAGACTATGCGCCAACGCCTTTGTGTGGGCGACCCCAGTCACCAATTCATTTTTCCTAGCATTGATTGTAGAGGCGAGAAATTTGAACGCCTCTTCTATGCCCACTCTCAGCGATGTACAAGTGGGTCGCGACAATATTCTACTGCAACGTCTTTGTATTTGTGCTTGTGCTTGGATTTGCAGCGTTGTCGCATTTGTCATTTCAGTGCTTGTTTGTTGTCGTTTCACTACCGGCAACTCATTCAATGGTTGCGTACCAACAACTTGATTTCCTAAACTATTATTCTGCTCTTCAATTGGCATAACTAATTGTCTTTTCTTACTTAAACTAAAATTATCCGCTAGGCAAGGGGGTGGTGGTGGTGGCTTCGTCTTCAATATGCTGTTAGACGATGTGTAGGTGACCGTTGAAGTTGACGGTGGCGATGGTGATGCTGATGATGATAATGATGCTGACGAAGGTGACAGGGATGTTGGTGACGTCGCTGTTGTTGATATCTCTGATGTCGACAGTCTTTCCTCTGAGCTGGATTTTGAGTCATTTAAGTCGCCTACTGTTGCAGGTACGCTTTCACCTTTCTTTGTTGTTGACTCATACCATATGCCTTGCTCAATAGTCGATTTTGCCGTACCACTAATTTCTGACTCATTTGTTAATTGTGGCTGCTGCACTGTTGTTGCTACAATATCATCACACATCCTCTTCAATCTTCTAGTTGATGTCTTGACTTGCGCCGCTAAAATTACGGTATAGTCGCGTGAATTTTGTAATTGGCGACGTTCCCGCACGTTTGTGACAGACGTTGGCTGCAACGTCGTTACCATCATCAACTTGTGGTTATCTTCCTCCACGTCGTCGTTGTCCCTATTACCGCTTTGGTTCGGTTGCGGGCACATCACATGTTTGCGATAATTTTTATGTTCACGTTGACAGCAATTGCTTCTCAGATTCGCACTCATGCTGTCACCCCTAGAGGCAACTCCTCTTGTTTCACTGTCATTGTTGCTATAATTGTGCCTCCATCGCTGTCTCCTGCCGTCGCTGTCGATTGCAATGGGATCGTTGTGACTGTAACCACTATGGCTGATGTTTGTGTTGCTTTCGTCCTCCTGATCGCTTTCTACCACTTCCACATATCTTACTCTATTTTTTACTGTTTTTATCTTTGTCTTTGTTTTTGTTGTTGTGCATTCTGCATGAGGAACATTTTGATACGAATTCAAGCTAGGCGGTGAATACGTTATTGTCGCCTTCATTGGAGTAGTTGTTGCTTTTCTGTTGCTGCCGCTGCCACTGCCACTACCGCTACTTCGTCTACGTCTGCCGTCTCGCACTGTAATAAAAAGATGATGAAATAAGGCTAATGAGAAATCTTATGGAGTAATATGCTTTTTATGTTCACACATATGTAGGTGTAATTAAATTACAAGTACTTGTAGTCCCCTTATAAAAATGTTGTATGTATTGTATATACTCATATATATTTATAATATATGCATATACTGATATATATAGAGATGCAAGTAGTATGTACAATACATACAATACATATAAATTTTTATTTTTAAATGCGATTTAATTACTACAAATATATGTATGTATATGTGTTTGCATCCGGAAATGCACTAAAAAGGAATGAGACATTCAGAATTACTTAATATTATTTTTTTATGCACTGTAGTCATTTATACATATGAGTGTATTATATGCATACCTATTCGTATATAATAGTCTGTGTACTATTTTCTAAGTAGAGTTTTTTATTTTAGCTTTAAGCTGTAATCTAAAATTTAGGGATCCAAAACACTTTCAGTAAAAGAAAGAGGTTCCAACGTCATTATTCTCTGCATAAATACGCGGAACGGAAGACTCTCATAAAAGCTCTAGAACATCTTCTTAGCTTTCACTCACGTAAGTGAGCCTTGGATGAGCTGGGAGAGTTGAACTATATATATTTATATACTATTTTCACCGTCTATTTTGACAATTTCTTTTCCACAAGAGCCCCTTGGAGGAATATGTTCTAGATCATCTGTGCAAGTCAGAGATTCACACGCACATAGCGGATACCACGGCACCTGTCTACCCATACCCTCAATGATGTTGGACTTATTTGTATAAGTTGCAACTGCTGCAAATGCACAGCAGTCCAAGTCCATTATTCAGAGGTGTACGATTCAATTCAGATTTACTAGATTTCAAATCATACAAAAACTTGAGGCCTATTAATGTAAAGATTTAATAATGTTTCAATTGGCTACTCAAGCCAAGGTAGGATCTGTTAGAAATAGCGATTCTGCGGTGGATTCTAAAGCTGACATTGTTATTAGTGTTGTTGCTGGTTCTAATGTAGACGAAATTATGTATGTATTCGAAGTTTTGACTGTCAACAATGACGTGGAAGCCAAGACGCAAAGACGCGCCCTGTTCTCGTTCATTACAAGACCCATACACTTCACTTCCTTATCCATTCTGGAGAAAAAAGAACTAACGGTTTGGTTATTGAGGACAATGATCAATGAGTTAATATCAGTGACATACGCCAGCTCTTGTACACTCTTATGAAAGGGTGGTTTTTAAGAGCTAAAGGAAAGTTAAAAAAAAAATATCAGAAAAATGCATGAAATCTTTATTTGAATCGATAGAACGGTCCATATAATTTAATTTTTGAAGAATATTTCATGCAAATTTTGACCGAGAATGCGCCTCAAATGGTCCATCCGCTTTATCCAATGTTGGCATGCTCTTTCAAACATTTCGGCCGGTATCTTACAAATAAATGCTTCAATTTCGTCCTCCAATGCGTCAATTGAATGATTATCTGAATTAAATCTCGCGATCAATGCGGCCAATTGACTGGTTCCGAACGTGAAATAAAATGTTCACCGAACTCGCATCTCAATAAGTCCATTGTTACGTGTGCTGTGTCGCTTGCGGCCGTCTTGTTAAAGCCACATATCCTGCAAGTCAAGCTCTTGCATTTTGGGCAAAAAAAAGTTTGATATCATCTCACGGTAGCGCTCATCATTCACAGTTACGTTACGATTCGCATCATCTTTGAAGAAGTACTGTCCAATGATGCCACCAGCCCATAAACCGAACCAAACTGTGACTTTCTGTATGGTGGCTCTTGCAATGGCTAGCTGATCTTCACCCCAAAATCGCACCCAATAAGCCAAAAATCAGCTTCATCGCTGAACACAATTTTTCGATGAAAAAGCGCGAGATAGACTTTCTTAACATCGCACGCGTTTTGATAATAAAATTTAATAATTTGCAAGCATTGTTCGTTTGTAAGACGATTCATGGTTAAATTATAAACCAAACTGCAGATGTTTGACAGTGATAGAGAGCCCGAAACGTGCGTCAGCTGTTTAAACCAGTATTGCCAAAAAGAAAATAGCTAAAAAATCACCCATTATAAGATTGTACCTTCCCTGTCGTACTTCGCGGCTCGTATGATTTCCTTCTGCATTAAATTAAATAAATCACCTTGTCTACACCTTGTCGTACGTTTCCTCAATGATCTTTTCCCGATCTGAGACCACAGATAATTTCCATTTCGTTCGTTGACATTGGACTTTAGTTTTTCATACAGTAGGCTTGATAAGATCTTACATCTGATAATGAATAGGGACATTTCACATTATAATAGACGTAGATTATTGGAACAGGTGTACCACGGACGAGTTAGCTGTAGGAAGACTCATTTTAACCAATAAAAACACTAAAACAAATGCAATGTGTCTGGGTACTTCTGTTGCCGGGCATGGTATCTTAAAATGTTAAAATCTCTACTTTTTCTCGACCGGTTATTCATTAAAATAACTGCGCCTTAGAAAGAACAGAATGTACACCATTTGTTGGAAAAATACATATACGCTCAATACAAATTGATAAAGAGTTCGGATAAATATTCTAACCGAAAGTTTCTTTCGTTCGGTATGGCATTAAGCAACGTCTTATTTGAAACAAAGTTCATCCATATCAACATCTACCTATTCAGGCAAGGAAAAGTATTTAATCATGGCTCTATGGCGTTCCTCATTCCCTCTGTCCATAGATCAAACTAAACAGTGACTTTTTGAGGCTGTAAAGGCGTCTAAATTATGGATTACCTTCACTCGTAATGGGACAGTTTTTTTTTTATTAAAGTACTTCTTGAGCTAAAAGTGAGCATTTTTTTGTGATCCAGGATCGGTGGCCATCTCGTTTTGGACCCAGTGACCGAACGTGCGACATGCTTGATGAATCATTCTTCCATATTCTATTCTATTTTGTAAGCCCGCAAACCAAGATCCTTCTATGATCATTCGGGTTCTCTTGGATACTGTTCATTGCGGATACTGCACTGCACAGCGTCTCTGAAGGTGTGCATTATCCACTACAGCAAACGATTTGCAAAACCGATGGAATTGACGATTCTGCTGGGTGATTATGTCGACTGACTTTCTGACCTACTTTTTGTGAGGCATAATACCATGTACTTCCCAGAAGGAATAAATAAACTATTTTACGCCATAAAAATATAAAAACAACGGAAAAGTTTTTCATTATAAGATTTTATATTTGCTTAGTGGCGCCACTTAATTTTTCCTCATAACTCACTACGAAAATATTTTTGTGTTGTCCTTAATAGACTTCTTTACTTTTCAACGAAGCAAAAATATTTATTTTCATTACACAAAAGCATTTCTCAATGAAATTTTATGGTAGCACAGAAAGAAGTAAATTAACATAATTAAACACCAGGAAAAAAATATGTTGTTGCTTTGAAGATCTATAAAAGACTGCGCACATGTGTGACGAAGGCACTACAAAAATCACACAAGTCCACCAACTAACAGATCATCAACACCCACTTCATAATTTTTATACAGAAAAATACAGCAAGGTGTTATTTATGTGAATGCAATTAAATTAAAAACAACATGAATATGAACAATAAACCAAATTTAAGCTTATAATTCAGTCATTTCTAAGTATGTAAATACGAATTTATTGAGAAAATAGAAAATCATTAATAAAATGATAAGCCGAAGCTTTCTATATATGCTCCATTTCTAATCTCAAAAATAAATTACATTTGAAAGAAATTGGAAGCCAACACTTGTGCAGTCATGTACATACAATACATATATCCCAGCAGCAAAAGGTGGGGTTTTGGTAAGGAAGAGTTAAAGTGGAAACTGTGTCTTTGATGCCTGAATTCAACGGTGAAAATTAGCATGGCGATGTTATAGCGAATGTAAGGCTTTTTATTTCTTTCTTTTGGTTATTGTAGCCTTGCTATTACTATTAGCGGTAATAGGTGCTACTACTTTTTTCGCATGATAGAGAAAACTAGTTCAACTATTGCGTATTTAATTTATCAGGTGTACAACTTTGCTTCCGCCGTTTTCCGATAGGTGGCTGTACCGGCTGAGCCTGGTTGAAATACATAGATGATAATGCCTTTAAAGTTAGTGTGGACAGTGCCTAACGAATTGTCATCGCCGTTTCAGTGACAGTTGTTCTTGTTTTCGTATTATTCACGCTCGAAAATGTCCGTTTATGTGCCTAATTCTCGCCATTTGCGGGAAGTTTTACTTTTCTGTTACAATTCGAAAAAAATGCAGCTGAAGCGCATCGAAAGCTCTCAGAAACTTACGGTGATGCTGCTCTGAGTGAAAGAACGTGTCGGGAGTGGTTTCAACGTTTTAAAAATGGTGATTTCGATGTCGAAGACAAACATGGTGGTAGAAGAGAAAAAACCTTCAAAGATGAACAACTAGAAGCATTGCTTGATGAAGATTCGTGCCAAACCCAAGAACAGCTTGCCGAATCGTTGGGAGTGAGTCAGCAAGACAATGCTCGGCCTCACGTGGCAAAAGTGGTCAAAAAGTACCTGGAAACGCTGAAATGGGAAGTCTTGCCCCACCCGCCGTATTCCCCAGATGTCGCCCCTTCTGACTTCCACCTATTCCGTTCGATGGCACACGGCCTGGCGGATCAACATTTTCAATCTTTCGAAGAATTGGAAAAATGGATTGCTTCATGGATAGCGTCAAAAGAGAACTCCTTTTTTCGAGCCGGGATCCGAAAATTGCCGGTAAGATGGGAGAAAGTTGTCGCTAGTGAAGGACAATGCTTTGAATAATATATCTGGTAGCACTTTTTCGCAATAAAGCTTTTAATTTTGGAAAAAAAACGATGGAAGCAAAGTTGTACACCTGATATATTATATTTTTTACATTTATATATTGTTACAGGGGAATTTCGCATATATGGTTTTCAACTTTCTTCAACTTCTTCTTCAACTTTCTGTGTTTTAATATAAAAATTCAATATTATTAGTAAATTTATAATTTTTAATGTACAAACAAAATATACTTATTAGTATATCAATTACAAATATTTGTAATAACATTGCGAGCTAACATATTTCTTGCTGTTAAAAGAAAACGTTACTAAAATTCAAATTCAAAACTACCATGCGACTGTGCCAACTTGTTCATGTATAAATTTTCAGTTTTTTGCAAGAACAAATATCCACCAAGAGCATGTTGTTTACTTGTTTTTTTCTTGAGTGAGTTTATGGTGGCTTTTGATTTTTGGGAATCGATCTGTATTACCTCTTCTCATCCAAAAAGGGGAAGCCTTTACAATTTTCCTAGAGGGATGTGAAATACTTATGTACATAAAATGCACACATGTATATGTGTGTGGCATTTTTTATTAATTACTGATCGCTCCGCCTATTTAAAAAATTATTATTATAGCATACAATAATAAAAATAAATGATTAGCATTAATTTTTATAGAGTGATAATATTTGACATCATTCTAAAAATTTACGATTAATTTTTTTTTAAGATTCTTGAAATGATTTAATGCATACTTTTTTTTATTTTTACGGTATGCTTGTTTCGAATACTGTATAATAGGGGGAACAGTCTAGCTGAGTTAAGTGGCAGAAATTTTTTACTCCTGACAGGCAGAATATATGCGCATTTAGTTATCAGCTGATTTGTGAGAAACTTTGAAATCGAAATGGAAATGTGGAAAAACCACGACTAGCAGCTGTTTTATTAGAAAAAAAAAAAAAAACAAATTGTTCATTTAAAACAAAACTTAAATTATTTCTCCTAAATTTCCTATAATTATTAAACAATATTGAAATATTAAATGCATTTGCAATCATAAGCCCTAATACGATATTTCATGCTGAGATTGCTTATATATTTTTCCAATGTTCATCTGGTATGTATATCTTTTTCTGAGAGTATTGAGCCCATCTCTCTTCACCAATAGTAAAAACTATCATATAAGGCAACATTGCCATTTTAAAATTTGCAACTGCTCTACGGCTCGACGAAAAAAATATAATACCTAATTGGGATTATTTTTGTAGGCGAAAAAAGAAATATTAAAAGAAAACTGACAATGAGCACACCTTGCAAATATATTGTACTTTCCGTTTGGTATATCTGATATGAAAATAATATTTTTTTTTTAAATCATTCATACATCATACATCTACAAATCGAACGGTAAGGAAAGCCGAAAAGCACTTCTT